TTTAAAAAAAAAAAAAAAAAAAAAAAAAAAAAAAAAGAAGATCCTTTCTTAGACGCGTGCGTGTCACGATCGCGCGATTTCTCTACGTACGGACGAGAAATCCTCCACCTGGCCGATAAATCCGCTCGATTATCGACCGTGGCCGAAGATAATTGATACTCATTTCCCGCGCGTTAATAGTCCCTTTGAAAATCGATAAAGTTACAGTCATTAATAAAACGCTCGATCAAACAAATGGACGATTCATACGAGCTTTACATCACGTTTCTGCTTTTACCTATGTGTTTAAACCATTAAGCATCGGACAGCGAAATAAATGACTTCAACGTGGTGAGACAAAGTCACGTAAATACAATGTTATTGAAAAAAAAAAAAAAAAATTGTAATTTATCATTTCGATCGGGAAGAATTGCAAATGAAATTTTGCCTTATTAAAATTCTGCCTCTTTCTTATTTCTATCATCGCAGACGTTCTCCATTCGCGTGGAATAATTTCCCTGTTCACATATTTCACATGTTTTCAAAGATTTTCTGAAAACTGGCCGATGTAAATGTAAACGGTTTGAATTGTACGTGAAAGTGAAGGAACACGATTTGTAAGTGCTCTGAAGATTATGGATGACATTTTAAAGCCAATTATCTTCCTTGGAGTACAGAAACAATATTATTAGCTTGATCCCTCGTACCTTTGATTTCCATTGCCCGGCGTGTTTCATTAATAACAATCGATTCCCGTTCATTTCGATGCGTTGTTTAAATCGTTTATTCGTCGTGTCGCGGAAAAATGGCGTTGCTAGCCATCTTTGCAAAGCATATCGAGTCCTTTTGCTAGCCATCTCTCCACCTTGAGAACTGGTTCCAAAAGATTCACCTGCAGCAGTCGATAAGAGATCGAGAACGATTCCATTGAAGCGTCCCGACAGTTTCTCTTAGATAATGTTGCGAGATATCATTGAGAACGAAGTCGAAAGGCCCCTCGCGTAATTCATCACCATGTGTGACTGTAGATTTTCCTAGGGAATGACATGCGGCTGAAAATAAAGAGATAAATCTCACCTTTCGCGTTCATCGGAATAAATCGACGAAATTAGAGGGCAAATTGTTGAAAGGCCAAGAAATAAAGAGACAAGAAGAAAAAGAAAGAAAGAAAGAAAGAAACGAAGGAGAGAGACAAAGCGACGTTCTCCTTGGAACTTCGAAGAAGTCAGATGCGCTGCTTCTCCGAGCTCTTGAAAAATTTATTTCTGGAAGGAACGAGGATATATATCGATAAAATAACT